CCACAAAGCTACAACTATCTTATATTTGATAAAGGAGCTAAAAGCATGCAATGGAGGGAGGATAGCATCTTCAACAAATGGTGCTGGGAAAACTGGAAATCCATATGCAACAAAATGAAACTGAATCCCCTCCTCTCGCCATGCACAAAAGTTAACTCAAAGTGGATCAAGGAGCTAGATATCAAATCAGAGACTCTGCGTCTGATAGAAGAAAAAGTTGGCTCCGATCTACATATTGTAGGGTCGGGCTCCAAATTCCTTAATAGGACACCCATAGCACAAAAGTTGATAACAAAAATCAACAAATGGGACTTACTTAAACTGAAAAGTTTTCTCTCAGCAAGAGAAACAATAAAAGAGGTAAATAGGAAGCCTACATCATGGGAACAAATTTTTACTCCTCACACTTCAGATAGAGCCCTAATATCCAGAGTATACAAAGAACTCAAAAAATTAAACAATAAGAAAACAAATAACCCAATCAACAAATGGGCCAAAGACCTGAACAGACACTTCTCAGAGGAGGACATACAATCAATCAACAAGTACATGAAAAAATGCTCACCATCTCTAGCAGTCAGAGAAATGCAAATCAAAACCACCCTAAGATACCATCTCACTCCAGTAAGATTGGCAGCCATTATGAAGTCAAACAACAACAAGTGCTGGAGAGGATGTGGGGAAAAGGGTACTCTTGTACATTGCTGGTGGGACTGCAAACTGGTGCGGCCAATCTGGAAATCAGTATGGAGATTCCTGGGAAAGCTGGGAATGGAACCACCATTTGACCCAGCTATTGCCCTTCTTGGACTTTTCCCCGAAGACCTTAAAAGAGCGTACTACAGGGATACTGCTACATCGATGTTCATAGCAGCACAATTCACAATTGCTAGACTGTGGAACCAACCCAGATGCCCTTCAGTAGATGAATGGATAAAAAAAATGTGGCATTTATACACCATGGAGTATTACGCAGCACTAAAAAATGACAAAATCATAGAATTTGCAGGGAAATGGATGGCACTAGAGCAGATTATGCTTAGTGAAGCTAGCCAATCCCTAAAAAACAAATACCAAATGTCTTCTTTGATATAATGAGAGCAACTAAGAACAGAGCAGGGAGGAAGAGCAGGAAGAAAAGATTAACATTAAACAGATAGATGAAGTGGGATGGAAAGGGAGAGAAAAGGGAAATTGCATGGTAATGGAGGGAGACCCTCATTGTTATACAAAATTACATATAAGAGGTTGTGAGGGGAATGGGAAAATAAACAAGGAGAGATATGAATTACAGTGGATGGGGTAGAGAGAGAAGATGGGAGGGGAGGGAGGGGGGATGGTAGAGGATAGGAAAGGTAGCAGAATACAACAGTTACTAATAGGGTATTATGTAAAAATGTGGATGTGTAACCGATGTGATTCTGCAATCTGTATTTGGGGTAAAATTGGGAGTTCATAACCAACTTGAATCTAATGTATGAAATATGATATGTCAAGAGCTTTATAATGTTTTTAACAACCAATAAAAAAAATTAAAAAAAAAAATAAACCCAGGACCTTGTACAATTTAGTAAGAACCTATACCAATGCAATGTAAGACGAGCTATATCCCCAGACCTTGTAATAGGATTTTAAACAATAAATAAAAACTGAGGAAATCCAACCAGTATGAAAAAAAAAAAAAAGAAAAGTTCATCTCATAGATAAAAAAGCGAATGATTTGAAAAAAAATCATATTAATTTTATCCAAAATAAGAAAGTGTGGTTCTATTAGTATTTAGAGTCTGATAGCCATATTGGATTACATGTCACTCCCCTGTGAGTCACACAACAAATTGCTACTTCCCCTTGACATGGATAGCATTCATCAAGACTTGAGTTATGCAAGTTCTAAAGGTTAAAAAATAAAAGATTTACGACCCAATAGTTTAAACAATGAATGTTGGAATTATTAAGTCACTGAGCATTTCAAGTCACTGATTAGTGTAATCATGGAAGACTACATAATAATATATACTCAGTAAATACTGAACTTTTTTGAATTGTATGCTTTGCTTCAGGGAAGACTTTGAGACTGGAGGCATTTGAGTTCCAGCTTCAGTTCTACCACCTACCATCTATGCACCCTTAGCCAAGGCATTGAATCTCTGACCCAGCTTCCCCGTTGTAAAATGGGAATAATTTTACTTTAGTTAAAAGTAATTTTAAAAAATCAAAATTGATATATGTGAGAAAGTACATGTTAATTTTGAGATTACCTGTATACATGAGCATTATGTAACTGGGGTCTTGACAGCAATTTTCCTTACTAAATAGATTATAAATAACAATGTTCTCCAAATTAAAATAAATACAATGGTATTTTTATAGGACACATATTTATTTGTACAGCATTATCATTAGGAATCTAGTAGTTTACATCAATCCAATGACATGCAATTCACAACTACCAAATAAAGTCTCATATTCCAATTTCATATTGTTTCTTTTGTGCTGGGAGTCTGTTTGGTATACTGTCTGCTTCCTGTTCACTCTAAAGCACATGCCTGCTTTTCTGTCCCCAATATTATTGCTTATGATCTGATATTTTTCATCCCATTACATTCGATACTAAACATCAATAGAAGCAGTCCCATCTGGAAGAGGGGAGAGATTGGCAGAGCCATAGTTTCTCAAGCCTCCCTCTTCAGTTCTCTTAGATTGTCTCTTCCTCAGTTCTGCTGAGTAAGTTTTACCTCTGCACTAATGGAGGGGGAGAAGCTGTTTTGAGCCTCTTTCTTTTGTGGAATCTATGACCCATTTATCCTTGGAGTGAAATAATGAGTATTGATTTGAAGGGAAGCTTGTTGGTCTATGAACAGAGTCAGTGTGGCATTTGCTTTACTCTTCTAAGGTGGCTTTGGAAGTAGCTCTGATGTAAGCCATAGCACCCATTATGGGCATTGGAACTCATTCAAATTCCAGTTTTGACCCCTGTCAATTCCAGTTCTGACCCCTGTCTTTCCCCATTTGTCAAATAAAAAATAATAATCTCTGCCCTTTGCTCCCCAGGATTTGGGGAGTGTTGGGGTGCTAAATAGCAAATGTTCTATAAATTTATTTAATTATGTCATGATGTATGTTTGTTATTTCAAAATGTTTAGATTGTACTACCCAGTTTAGGCTTAGGCACTTGTGATGTTAGGTCAACATTTTAAAATATTTAAGAGGTTTGATTTTCAAAGACAAACTATCTTAATTTTTTTGATGAAATATCATAAATTTAATAATTTTATGTAAAAGTCAGAGATACACTTAATTTCCCCCAAGTCACGAATTTCCAACCAGCATGTTGAGCAATGTTTTGGATAAAATGCTTTATTTTTTTCTTAATCCTAGCTGCACATGGGTACCACCATAGGTTTGTGCTTGTGTGTTTGTTTTCTTTCTTTCTTTTTTTTTTTTAATGCCTATTCTGTTATCTCAGAATTGCTGAACTAGATTGTCTTGATTAGAGGTTTGGAAAGGAGAGCAAGAGTCAATAATAGTTTGTTTTTATCCTTATCAGGGGACCTATGTACAATCAGAAGGGATTGTAACTTATCTAGTTTATTGGTTCAGCAGTTTGTGTCAATAGGACACATTCTGATTAACTTGGAGCACTATAAAAGCTTTACATTGACTGCAAGCTCAGAGCTGTCAAAGTAAAAGAAGGCAGCATCAATGGATCTTGTTGTGGTCCTGGTGCTCAGTCTCTCTTGTGTTCTTCTCCTCTCACTATGGAGACAGATATCTGGGAGAGGGAGACTCCCGCCAGGACCCATGCCTCTCCCAATTCTTGGGAATATCCTACAGATAGACACTAAAAACATCAGCAAATCCTTAACCAATGTAAGTATGTTGATGCTTATCCAGTGGCTTGCAAATTGTAAATAAATTAATCCTTCGGTTTAAATATATATATATGGACAAGCAAGTTATTAAAAGAGAATACTCTCTATTGATTATGATGTTTCCATTGCTTTTTATAGTTTTCCTTGTTAGACGTAATGAAACAATACATCAGGGATAAAAGAACCATTTACATTTAATATTTAATGGCAATATTAAAGTGGCAAAAGTCTGGAATAAATTTCCCTGTTTCATAATCAATTACTGTGATTTTCTATTTGCTGCATAATCTAATTTCCATAATCCTTATGGTTTTGAGTGAATTTTTATTTGTTTATGTCTTTCATCTCCAATTCTGACTAGATTGTTTTTTATGTGTCTATGTCTTTATTGAAATGCTCTTTCAACTGAGTTTTCTCTCCTAATTCTTTCCTTAGGACTTCCTATAGTTTATTGAAAATTTTTATAATCAGTTTTCTATCATTTTTCTCTGGAATTTTATGCTCTTTCATATCAGTGGGATTTTTTGCTGGGGCATTGTAAATTAAGGAGGAAGACTTGTTTGTCTATTTTGTCAAGTTTTCAGAGGCCTTGTACTTTTACTTCACTTGAGATGGATCCATTTTCCATTTTAAACCTATGAACTTTTGTGTGTAGCTACATTTTGGGAAGGCAGTTCTCTGTGTTTTGGATATATGAGTACGTTCATGGGTATGACCTGAGGTACCCCTGTGGTTGATCTTCCTTGGGGCCTGGTTGTTGGTTTGATGTTTTTTTCTCCTCAATTCTATGTGTTGAAATAATGTTGATGCTGAGGTTGGCTAGAGCATGGGTGGGGTGAGATTCTTTGTTACTGGGCTGAGTTGTGAGTATTGCTTGGGAGCAGGATATCTACTCTGTGAACCTGAGGTGACCCACTCACTCTCCAACTGCACTTTGAGGAAGTGCTGAGCAAGAAATAACACTATTGTTACCAATAGATATATAGCCTTAAGACAAATGTTCAGTATCTATTTTGACATCTGTAACACTAATTGCCACCTACAGAGGAATGGTGGGATCAACAATACAAACTGTGAGCAAGATTAGTCGTTAGGTATCAGGGGTCTAGTACATTACCAGCTGTGTTAATAGTCATAACAACATGAATGAGGTACAAATTGCATAAAGCATATAATTTTATTTTTTAGTGAAATTACAGTTTCTTATGTGAAGATAAAATAGGTTAGAAAGAAGAAAGTTTGAAATGTTTTAAAAAGTGAAGCCTGGAGAGACAGTATATAGATCACCAATGTTGACTATAAAGAGGGAGAAATAAAGAATTAACTGTAAGTAGTCTACAAATTAAAAAAGAAGAAGAAGGAACAGGAAAATTTGAGTATTATTAGGAGAAGAAAGTGAAGAAGGGGCAATAAAAAGGACAAAAACCAAGGTATAGAAAATAAGTAAATGTAAAATCAAAACAATTCAAACCTATATATGAATACATCCCTCCTCTGTGAAACCAAAGCTAAATAATAAACAGGTACAGAAAAAAAGCAGTTAAAGTGAGATCAAAATTATGTGTATACATATATTAAACCTACTCATACTATGAGAACACACATGCCCATACACACCCCCAAACATAATTCTCACACAATGGAAAAAAGTAAAAAATAATAAATTACAGTGAAATGATATTTGAAAAAAATTTAATTTGTTTAATTAGTTACACATGACAGTAAAATGCCTTTTGACATGACAGTAGTGTGTATTTTGACTTATTATACATACATGCATTCCAATTAGAATCCCATTCTTCAGGTTGTACATAATGTGGAGCTACACTGGTTGCATATTCATTTATGAGCAAAGGAAAATTATGTCTGCTTCATCCTACTGCCTTTTCTATTCCCATCCACTCTCCCTGCACTTCATTCCTCTTTGTCTAATCCAGTGAACTTCTATTCCTCCCCTCCCTACTCTTCCTTGTTGTGGGTTAGTGTATACATGTGAAAAAAAATAAATACAAAAGTGAGGTTAAATCATGCTAAAAATAATTATGCATACCAAATGAAACAATGTACAAATAGAAAAGACCCTATAGAAGCAAAAATATATTATCCAAAATGTAGAAGGAAGTAAAAATCAAAATCAGACAAAATTAAACTAAAAAACGTTACAACTAAACTTATTAAATATGGGCAAAGAGGAAAATGGATAAAACTGGAGACCATCATGCTAAATGAAATAGGCCAGATCCACAAAGCAAAGGATTGAATGTTTTCTGTGATATATGGAAGCTAGACGAAAAGAATGGGCAAAAGTTAGAAGGGTAGATTCCACAAAAATAGAAGAAATTAATAGAGTAGAAAAAAAGGGATTGAGTAGAGAGAGGAGATATGGCAAAGTTGAAGAACTATGCAATGAATCTGACAAAAATTGCTATGGACATATATGAATGTATTACAATGAATATATCTTTGTGTGTATTCACAAGGCTCTAATTAAAAAAAAACACTAAAAATAATAGAAGAAACATCAGTAGAGTAGAGAAAAGGGAAAAGGAGTAGGGAGAAAGGAGGGAAAGGAGAAGCAATGGGGACTGAATTAGAATACATTCTATTCCATGCTTGCAGAATAACATCAAAATAAGCATAATTAAATTAAAAGAAAGGAGCTTCAGTATTATTTAGAACTAAAATCAATTAATAAAAAGTGGACGAAGAATATTAATAGATATGTTTTTCAAAAAGCATGCAAATTTCCAAGAGGATATGAAAAGAAGCTCATATTACTTATCATCAGGAAAATGCAATTCAGAATTACAATATTATGGTTTGGATGTGAAGCATCCCCCAAAAGCTCACATGTGAGACAATGCAAGAAGGATTGTAAAAGAAATTATTGGGTTATAACCTTAAGGGCAATCAATGTTTACTCCCTGATGGGATTAACTGAGTGGTAGCTGGAGGCAGGTGGGTTAGACTGGAGAAAGAGGTACATTGGGAGCATGAATATGGGGTATATATTTGTATCTGGCAAGTGGAAATTCTCTCTCTCTCTCTTGCGAGCTCTCTCTCTCTCTCTCTCTCTTTTTCTCGCTCTCTTTCTCTGCTTCCTGATCACCATATGAGTTGTTTCCCTCAGCCACACTCTTCCACCATGATCTTCTCCCTCAACTTCAGCCCCAAGGAATGTGTGGGCCTTCTATGGGTAAAACCTCTGAAATCCTGAGCCTTCAAACTTTTTCTCCTCTACAGTTGTTCTGGTAGGGTTTTTTTTCAGTGACGTCAGTGAAAAACCACCTGTTAGGATTGCTGTTATCAAAGTCAAAATACAGCAAGTGTTAGCAAAGAGAAGAGGGAACTCTTGCTCAGAGGTGCTGGGAATGTAAATTGATACAGCCATTACAGAAATGACTATATTTGAGCTTCCACAAAATGTTGAAAAATAGAGCTACCTTATGATCCAGTAGCCCCACATCTTAGAATGTATTCAAAGAGATGAAATCAGTATGTCCAAAAGATATCCACACACCATATTCACTATAGCATTATCTTCAATAGTCAAGAAATGACACCAACCTAAGCCTCAACTGGTCGCTGAATGCATAAATCAAATGTGATTTATACATAAAATAAAATCTTATTTAGTCTTAAAAATTACCTACTAATGACCCCAACATAGACTCAGCCTAGAGGCCTTTATGATGAGGGAAGTAGCCATACAGAAAGACCTCCACTACATAATCTCACTTACACGTACATTCTTACAAAACAAAGCAAAATTCCTAAAACTCATGGTAATAGAGACTAGAACGGTGATTATTGGGGGCTGAGAGGTGAGAAAAAAGGTGAGATGTTGGTCCAAGGGTACAATATTCAGTTACAAAGTGAATATATATATTTATTTATATTAATGGTACCTCAATAAAGCTGTTAATTTAAAAAGTTTTTAAAAAAAAATAACTATGGGCTGAGAACCAGAATAAGAGAGTGAGGGAAAGAATTGACCATTCAGAATCTACTGGATGGTAACAGAATCCTTGTGGGTTTTGCACAAACCTTCATTCTGTACCCTATGAATTATCAGGTGAAAGAAATTGTTCTTGTATGAGATGCTGCATGGCCTGGTGTTGCCTCCCTAGTATTCACTCTCTTGCTGTGATAGTGATAGCTGTGGTCTCAACCTATAAGTCTTATGATCATCTGGGGTTTTAAAATATAGACTGCCAGTACTCATTGTGGGCTTACTGAGTCAAAATCTCTATTACACAAGTCCCGAGGGTGACCCAGAAGAAAACAGCTAAGTGTTGGTATAAAGGTGGATAAGCACTGGGGTTTGATAAATCGTTTAGCATCAGAAGTTGAAAAATAAAGATATAAATTTGGGTTTTCTGTTTATTAAAAATGATATACTACAAATGAGTTTGTGACTCTCTGACTTCATTTTCTTTGCACATAAAACAGGACAAATAAGTCCTTTAGATGCATTGATGTGAGGATTAATTATAGTGTAGATATCAATTGCTTGAGTGGATATGGCACATAGTAGACCATCCTTAAGTGATAACTATGATTGCCATCACATTTGTGAGTACAATTTAGAAATATTTGAAGATTCTTATGGCACTGTAATATATAATTAATATAATGAGACTAATCTGAGTAACAGTTTGAATCATTCTCAACATGTAGATCTAATGCTGATCTTCTTCAGCTAATATCTGCATTTTCTTTCTCCTTTCCAGTTGTCAAAAGTCTATGGCCCTGTGTTCACTTTGTATTTGGGTACGAGGCCCACTGTAGTGTTGCATGGCTATGAAGCTGTGAAGGAAGCCCTGGTTGATCATGGGGAAGTATTTTCTGGAAGAGGCAGTTTCCCTGTGATTGATAGAGCTTCTAAAGGACTTGGTAAGTGTGCATGCATGTGAGGTGGCTGAGCAATGGTCATGGGGAGGAGGAAAATATAGAAGAGAAAGCCAGGTTGAGCTTGACCATTTCTGTGGGTGCCACTTATCAACTTCCTCTACCTTGCCTGGGATATTCTCCTAGATTCTGCTCTCCCTCATTTAGGAATTGTTTTAAGTAGTGGAAACAGATGGAAAGTGATGAGGCGATTCTCAGTCATGACTCTGAGGAATTTGGGGATGGGGAAAAGGAACATTGAAGACCGAATTCAAGAGGAAGCCCGCTGCCTTGTGGAGGAGTTGAGGAAAACCAAGTGTGAGTGATTCGTTATATCACAGTCTCTTTTGCTTTCTGACTTCATTCATGATGTTTTCCAAGGCCAGTACCTAGTAATTATACTAATCTCTGGTTTTACATTATTTGTATATCTCCTGAAAAGTCTCAATAATCATGATTATGCTAAATACTTACCTCTCTGTGTCTTTTCTATTGACTCATGAAAGTGTTTTTCACATTGTCTCTGATTTTCAGCTTGGATTCAGATTGCTCTGTTGTCAAATTTGTCTTCCAAATTAACAAAAAAAGCAAGACTGAAAATCAGACTTTAACAGTGAGTGATATAGAAAAGAAATTGCCAGTCTTCCCTAATTACCTTCTAACTCCATAGCTAAAAGGAACCTTGGTTCTGAAAGCTTAGAACACTGGAACATTTACCTCATCTGTCAGAGGAGTATATAACTTGAAAGCTTTGCTCTTTCCCAATGCTCTATGCTACCTTTGTATCATTTTTTTTTT